TTTTTTTTTGTAAGCGGTGTGCGGAACTAGTGATTTAGGATAGACTAATTTTACTTAGAAAATTATTTAATCGAAGCTAATGTTTCAATCAATTAAGAATTTATAAAAGAATAATAAACCTTTCATTCCAGCTATACTTGTTCATCATTATGTTAATCTATTGTCCATTTCAAAATATAATGTCCTCCACTGTTTTTTGAATAATTCGAGAACGCAAACAGCTAGAGATCTGTAGTTTTCATCAATCGAAAGATGAGATCGGAGGACGTCTTTTTCTCCAATAATGTATAAGAGAAAATCCTTTTAAAACTAACTATTTTCGAAAAACTTGTAAAAGAAGGCATGAAAATGGCCTATCATCTAGATGAAATTTTGATATTGACCTTTAATTTAGATAGAGGAATCTCAAATCTGTAGTTCAAGATATAATGCGTTTTCTTACTTTTCATTACATTTCCATCGAAATGTCATGATATTATGATAAAAAGTGAGAAAAATTAGTAAAAATCCCTATTATTTGCGGATGTAAACACATGATTCAATTTGCTAAACGTTAGAATGTACTAAGAAAACCAATTTGCATTGTATCTTGAACTATAGATTTGAGATCCGTCTATCTAAATCAAAGGTCAATATCAAAATTTCATCTAGATGATAGATCATTTTCATACCTTCGTTTACATGTTTTTCGAAAATAATTAGTTTTAAAAGAATTTCCTCTTATACATTATTGGAGAAAAAGACGTTCCCTAATCTCTTCTTTCGATTGGCGAAAACTGCAGGTCTCTAGCTGCTTATGTTCTCAAGTTATTCAAAAAATAGTGAAGGACATTATATTTTGAAACGGACAATAGTTTAAATTCATTTGTTAAGATATGAAATTAAGAGAAAGAATATTATCTCCAGATATGATATAATTAGATTGTATGAAAATGCGAAATTGGTTTGATTTATGTTTAATCTGTCAATCGAATTGATGATTGATAAGTTTATACTAATAATATTAATATTATATATAAAATAAGAAATTATTCAAGTTTTTTTCTTTTTCAAATAACAATCTCCATAGAAATTAGATCATACTCATTTTCTCCAATTAACTATTATACATCATCATCCATCGACATCTATTTCAGTTAAAGGTATATGAAACTAATATAAAGTATAGAGGTTTACGTCCATAGAACTTGTTAATGAAACTTGATTTATGACTCTTGTATCATTCAATTATATATGAATTTCATAAGAACTTTTCTTCATCATGACTTTTTACAATGGTGTTTTATTTTTAACATCACTTATTATTATTTACGATCGGCTATCATAGGCAATCACGGTTTTGTAAGTTTGTCCTCTTAGAGAAAAGAAAAAAAAATCAATTGTTATACATCTTTTTCGTGCATTCAGAAGAAGAGAAAACTTATAGATATTTTCGCGTAATTGTCATTGAATCTTTTAATTTCGAAAATAGAGAAGTTATTTCTCTTATTCAGATAAGATCTCACAATAAGGTGATCCATACAGAATTATTGAAATAATTTCAGGAAAGAAAAAAAATCTCGCCTTCAGCTAAAATGTCAATGAAGTTAGTTTCTAATATCCGCACACCGATATTCTATAGTCTACGGCTCAGTCTGAAATTTCATTTGTAAATCATAATATGAAGTGTTTAAATGTGAGGCACAAGTGCAGTGTATCGCTGATAAGCTCTATATTGATTTAAGTGATAAAGAATAGAATATATGAAAAAGAAAAAGCGAGTTACTCTTATTTTGACAAAGGAAGGTAAGTTTGTTTGAGCGAGAATTGAATTAAATATCGTAATTTCATCGATGAGTCTTACTAATCTTTTTTCCATCAGATGAAGTTGGATTTTCAATTTTCGCAAGAAATATTATCATGTAAAATACATGGAGTAACCTTTCCACGACACATTAAAAAAACGCTTTAAGCTTCTTAAAATAAGTTATTTGGATCTCGTATGAAACCTATCTTTCCATTGTTTCGTTAAGTTCCAAAAAAATGTTGCTGGCTTTTCAAAACGTTTTACTGCTCTAAAACTAAAGAACATGAATAGTTCGAAAGAATAGTTTTCTTTCAAGGATCTTCTTATTAAATTGGTGTATTCATTCGAATGATTCAAAAACATCGTCTGTAACTTTGTGTATCTATTGTAGTTTTGCACTTAAAGCATAAGATCTGATATGGCCTCTTGTACAAACTCGTCAGCTGATGATCTTGCAACGAAACATGAGTAAGTGATCGCATTTTGTTCATTATAAATATGCTGAGAGAGTAAATCGTTTCGTCAGGAAAACGATTATTATACCACCATCGATCTTAGCTAAGACAGACACACCCATTGTGGTTATTCTGACTCAAGAATTGGATAATACGTACGCTGATGATTATTTGAGATTTTCTGTCGATCAGCTAGTTTCCAAGTTTCAGATGCTTGGTGCTCATGCGATAGCAACGCCATGGTCTACGACACCTCTTGCTCTTGACTCATCTTGGTCTTCGATTCGCTATGTGGCCAATCTTGCTTGGGGCTATCATACCGTCGTAGATCGTTGGGAAGCATGGCTTCATGCTTGGCCAAAAGATGTAATATTGATCAATCCTCCGTCGGTCCTTTTGTGGAATACTCGGAAAACATATTTGAAAGAATTGGAGAAGGCTGGTATTCCAATCGTTCCAACGCTGTACGTCGATCGGATCGATGAGAAAACACTGATCGATGCTGCAGCACATTTTGCTACTGCTGATCTTATCATCAAACCTCAAGTAGCAGCATCTAGTTTTAATATATTACGCGTTTTGGTTGGCAGTTCGGACTTTACTTCATCACCAAGTAAAACAGAAGAGAAGAAATAAACTTCATTCTAGTCTATATATTAATTTTTTGTTAAGAATCAATGAATGCCACTGCAGCAGTTGATGAATTAATCCGGTTGGGTATCGCTCATTCAGCAGCGATGATTCAACCATTCATGTCAAATGTTGTTCGCGAAGGTGAACTGTCAGTACTCATGTTTGATGGACAATTGAGTCACGCAGTTCGAAAAATTGCATCGCCCGCCGATTATCGCGTACAATTTGAATATGGTGGTATTACATCTACTGTAGATCAACCTTCAGCTGAAATGCTCGAACTAGCTCATGCTTCGCTAGCTATTTGTCCTGAAACTCCTACCTATGTACGTGTCGATATGATACGTAATCACCTGACTGGACGCTTGAATATTATGGAGCTTGAACTTATCGAACCAGATTTGTTTTTGAGATATGCAGTCGATGGAGGCATGGCATTTGCACGTGCCATCTTGCAAGTTCGTTCTCAAAATTGATCAGAACATGAATATTGAAACATGATTGTACAAATGTTCTCTATATTTGTACTTGGAACCAGTCATTTGGTTAAATAAATTTGAGAAGTAAAAAAAAGTATCATTGTCCAGTGGGTATCGAGTGGAATAGCTGCTTAATTCGCGTTCTTTTTACACTACTGGTAGACTGTCATTTCATCTGTAAATAATCTTCTTAATCGTGTGCGTTACAGCTGACGTGTTAATACATTTTTGAAAAGCTGATTTTATAACGCCGATATTTTCATTACCATTCAACTAGATGATAAAAAGATGAAACATAATACTATTCAGCCGATGTTTGGCTCATCGTCAGCAAAAAAAAATGAAAAAGTTGAGTATTCTGCTTCGATTAATGATGCATTTTTTATAGATAGCAGAATTAATTGAAAGTGCTTCTTGTTTGATCAGTCTCTCAAACTGATGTCATCATCATCATCACTTATCCATGATAACAGAATCTGAAAAAGATGATATTAATCTTACACATATCAATCTTTCCTTTCCATAGATGAATCTTCATTTCAGATGAAATTATCTTTGAACAAATTAAACAAAGATAAGATTTAATTTTATGCATAGTTGTATTCAATATGTTTAGTTATTATTGTCATTGTTTTGATCATGTATTATTTTATTCATGACATGAAGTAATCTTTTTGTAGATAATTCGTTTTTCTTTTCTCTAATTTCTTCTGATATTGATTGTTTGAATTAATTCTATGCTACTTTTGTATCATCTGCAATTTTAAAACGAAAGTAAGACATTTATAACTTGCTAACGTAATTTGAAAAATTAACTAAAGAAAAACCAAGAATTATGTAAGTCTTATGTGAATCACGGTATAATAAAAACGAAAAGGATCTTACACACATTTCTTTTCAAAGGTACATATAAAATGACTCCAGTTTGCTTGTTGCTCAGCTTTTGGTATTTCCTGTACGTATAAATATAACGCCTTGCAAAAGCAGGCAGCTTCGAATTAATAGGTTCATTGGACTCACCGATAGTCAAATTGCAGTTGTATACACTCTCCATAAACGATCCATTGGATTGATTCGAAAGAAATTCTGATTCTCAAATACTTACAACTTCTAGTTAAACTTCAGTAATCGCGACAACTTATTAAAAATTGGTTGTTACGGCTTTTCCCATTGGTTAGTTCAATAGTTGTTCGCAATGCTGACGATGCAATATAATTGTCACTCTAAGATTCAAAATCACCGGAATAAGTTCAATACTATTTTTAGATCTGTTTCTTTTTTTATGAAAGAAAAAATTCTATCGTTACCATTGTTACATAACAAAGATATTATCTTTATGACCGTAAATACACCTTTGAAAATCTACTATAGTCGGATGACGCCCAACCACTCAACGATTTCTGGTTATACCAATATTTGTATTTGATCATCGCTCATCGATAAAAGTAGCAAAACACGCTGAGATAATCTACAGAAGACAACACAATGAAACAAGTTTAACATTGGTTTACTCTCACTTCCATAAAGAAAAAATATCCTTTTCGATCATGATCATTATTTTATATTTATCTACTTTGTTTCATCACTTGACCTTAATGGTCTTAAAGGGAGAGCTCCCTAATAACAAGTGTATCTGTTAGAATGATATATAAAATATCAGCAAAAAAAACAAGAATTAGCATCTTTAAAATATGTTCCCAGAGCGATCAGATGTATAAATCAATTATTTTAATACGGTTGGCACTTATAGTTACTCGAACAAAAAAAAGAGGTTTGCATAACACACAATATTGTTTGAAATTTCAAGATCAAAAAGAGAAGTAAACAATGGGTAAGGGTGTAGAATTAAGACGCCAATATGTGCATTAGTAACAGTGAAGGAATATTTTCTCTTATCGTTGTTAGTACTTCAGCAGGTATTTTTAACTATTTCAATTCATGAGAATTATAATTTTAGTCATTTATTGCTTAATTCATTTTGACTATTGTCATTTTCTTCTTCCTCATATCATAAAAACCATAGTATTGTTACTTCCAAATGAATTCTATTAGTATAAACTAATCAACGTTTTATTTAGTTTTATACATTAAAGAATCTCTAAAAATTTAATCATCTCGCAAATAATTTAAAAAAAAACATTTTGATGTTTTGGCAGTAACTTTGATTATTTCTCTTCATTTGTTTCAAACTTTAAAGTATATTTCATTACATGAAAACGATATGCTAGTTTATATGGAACATGAAAGTTCAGTCAAAAAAGGGATGTGCTAACAAACCTTTGTGAATCAATTATAATATTTAGCAAAGTATCGTCTAAAGTCAGGTCATGCTAATCATAATCTAGTGGAATTCATTTGGTTATAAGAATTGCAGTGATATCTCATATGAAAAAGAAAATAAAGCGAAAAATTCAAGGATGAATGATTTAATCTGTTTTGAGCAGAATGATTAATGAAAGCCAAAGCCTAGTGACTTTATTTTCAAAAAAATACAGATTAAAATAAATTATCATCGTTAGTAATATATTTTTATTGATTTTTGGTAATCAATTAGAAACTATTTGAAAAAAAATTCATCTTTCATCATGACTTAGTGATTTCATTTCATTATGAAAGAAAAAGTTAATCAAATAATAACAGTAAATTAAAGACTATTGATTTTAATAGATCAAAATCAATTATTATATAAAAACTTAAAATGCAAATTCTGAAAATTTCACAGCAATATATTTTTAATTAGGTACATGTTATATTTTCTCTTCTTTGTTGGAATTGATTTATTTCAAACCTTCTCATATAAAAGTGAAAAGTTGATTTACACATAAAATCTGTTTTAACGCGTTACGAACAATGTTCAAAAGTTGGAAATCGAAGAAAATAAGTTGTACCAGTTGAACTTTCAAAGAGGATGCTTTTTTCAATAAGATCTTTTATTTTAATCGAAATGAAATCCCATTTGGATGTTGATGTATGAAGGACATGAGGATAGAAGAAGTTTTGTTTTCGAATGTGAACGTGAGTGTGGGTGCGTCTTCTCTTCATCCGCAACTACATCCCAGATTTCACACTTATTTTATTTGTCTACTTTTTTTTTTACTTATTCAAATGGAATGACATGAAATTTACTTTTAATCTTAAAATTATTATTTTTGGTCCCTTTTTTCCGAAAAGGAATATGCTTCCAGTTGGTTTTGAATGAAAGGAAGAAACATGTTTCTTTTGAAGAAAAAATGGATAATAAAAACTTTAGAGAATCGTAATAAATATTTCACGTAACATTTTCCTGAAAATTAAAAAAAACAATCTTGTTCCATGAAAATCAACTGTACTCAAAGCAATTGATGTCTTGATGGTATCTGTCTGATATTGATCTTAAAAGATTACAGTTAGTTTAAATTAATTGTTAGTTGATGTCTGATTGATTTACAAAAGGTAAGAATTGACTTCAATTGGTTTTAATCGATGTAATGAGTATCAAACTATTATATTAATTATAACCGATTATGACTAATTTTAATCAAATTTTAATCTGATTCTTTTCATGTTTTCTTTTTTTATGGATTCTTGAACTTTCTTAACTCACGAACTTGACAAAAACTTTAATGAATCGTTGAAGAACTGAAAGGAACTCAATTGTTGGATTTAGACAGTAAGTTCTTATGCATTTCTTAATCTAGAAATTCCTTCAAGAACTTACCTATAAAATATTCATCTAGGGGATGATTAGTATTTGAGAGATCCAACATTTACCCGCTCCTTCAAAGAAAAGTGTCACACGCAACTTTCTTTTTCTCTGAACTGTAAGTCATCATCGTCGGTAGTCGAAAGAAACGAAAGAAAAGAACACATGCCAAAAAATTGCCGACGAGTGCTAAAAAATCGGAAGCAGAAGAAATTTATTTATATTCCTTGTTTCTCATAGCGCTCTTTCTTCCGAGATAACAACGTTAAAATATGGCTAATGTTTATATGACGTCGGATTGTAGTTCACCGACATCATTGAATGTCGAAGATTTCAGGTCGTTTTCGCTCGTATGGCTCGATATTCAGATTAACGACTCGCTACTATATGTTGACGTTCGAAAAAAACTTCATTACATCATTGATTCCATGGAAACTTTTGATCAGATCGGCCAATGCGAAGAATTTGTCCGAAAAACGGTTGATAAATGCCATATGATAGTGATTGTTGGTGAAGAAATTGGACACGACATGACACTTCGTATTCATGATCTTTCACAAGTATTTTTAATATGTATTTTTGATATGAATCAATCAGACAAGCATATACAATGGATAGAAAAATACTATAAAGTAAACGAAATCTTGTGCTTGAATTTGACTCAAATCTGCAAAAATCTCTTTCTTCTACTTATTTGCTTAGGTAAAAGGTATTTTCAATCAAATGGAAGTAATCATTGATCAAATTACCTTGGAACGAAAACGTTGGCATAAGATTGGTGATCCACTTGTCTTTAGTATCTTCAATATCCGAGATCATATAGAGAAATCATCGAGCAATATCAATGGCACTTTCCTTCATTCCCAACTTCTAATTGATCTTCTTCTTCGCCTAAAATCAACTGAAGTCAATCGAAAAGAATTTATCAATTTGTGTAAGAAGGAATATGCTTATAATCAAAGTATACGCCGTACGATAGATGACTTTGAACAAAATTATGATGACGAATTTGCTGTGTGGTGGTATACACGAGATACGTTTATCTACAGACAATTAAACAAAGCTCTTCGTATAGAAAATATTGATTGGCTCTTTCATTTTCGTTTCTTCATTCGTGCTATCTATAATCTTCTCAATGAATTACAACAAGAACAACAAAACTCATCATCAATCGAACATGTCTATCGGGGTCAACTGATGTCATCCAATGAGATCGTTCAACTGAAGAATTCCATTGGTGGATTAATCTCATTTAATTCGTTTCTTTCGACTAGCCGTGATCGTAACCATACATTATTTCTACTTGGTGATCGTCCAGCAGTCTCTGGTGACTTACATCCCATTTTATTCGAAATTGAAGCCAACTATCGACTGGTTAATGTCAATAAACCATTTGCTGATATTACTTCAATGAGTGCTTTTGCAGATGGAGAACAAGAAACTCTCTTTATGATTGGAAGTGTATTTCGTCTCGAACGTACTTTTATGGAGGATAATGTTACAGTATTTACGATGAATTTATGTTCAGAAGATGATCAGGATCTGAGATTACTCTTCGAACATATGAAGAATGAGATTGGAATTGGAATAGATGATACTCTCTTAACACTTGGAACACTATTGTGGAAATCCGGACGATTCGAACAGGCTGAACAATTCTATCGCCGCATGCTCAACGAATTAGCATCGGATGATCAACTAGTACAAAATTGTTATCAAGGATTAGGTTTCGTCGCTACAGCACAAGGTGATTACGACACTAGTCTCATGTGGCAGACGAAAATTCTCGAAGATTTCCAACACAAATTACCATCAAATGATTATCGCATTGGCTGTACATGGAACACTATTGGTAATACTCATTGGCGAGCTAAACGTTATGACCTCGCACTCCACGCATACAACACAGCAGTGCTAATCTTTGGGCCACATCATGATCGAGATACGATTGCATGTTTAAACAATATGGGAAATGTATACGAAGAAACAGGTCAATATGAAAAAGCGCTTGAATACCATCTGAAATCCATTGAAATTCGAGAAGGAATTCTTCCTCCCAATCATCCTGAACTAGGTACATCACATCATAATATCGCTAACGTATATCATCGACTACACAAATTCAATAGTGCTCGTTCTCATATTAAACGAACTCTTCATATTTTCCAGAAGTCACTTCGAGCAAATGATCCGAGTATCGCTGCTACCTATCAAACAATGGATGCTCTTGAGTTTGATGTCGGTGCTTATTGAGAAGGTCTGAAGTATTTGGAACAATCAGCAGCCATTTATCGAGAGACATTGCCATCCGATCATCCGACTGTTGAAGCCATTCATATGACTATTGCACCAGCAATCAAAGCTATGTTGGATTATGGTTTAAACTATTTATGAATTTAGATCTGACAACTATAATGGTTGCAATGCTTTTTCAAAATATGCATAACATATTATTATACGAAAGCCTCTGTAGCGATATCGAGAATTATTTCTACAGCGAGAAATGTTAGGTTGATGTGAGTTTTCTTTCATTCGAAAGAAAAAAGCCTAGAGAATAGTACAGACAACAAATGTTACTGACAGAATATAGTATTCTTTCTGTGGAGAAAATCATATCTTCCAGATTTGTAAAAACATTCTTTTTTAGTATATTGATCTTTCTTGTCAATGATTTCGAGCCGTAAGAATGAGTTGAAGTAATCAACGAAATTGATGTGAATAAGAAACGTTTTCGAATCGTGATCACTTGGATTCGTTGAAATATTTCTCGTTCGCTGCTTTACTCATGCGTCTTTGAGGGTGAGCTGGTAAGTGAGTCTGAAGAAAATATCCACACCCTCAATAGTTGAATTCTGGATATCTTGTCGTGCAACAATGGTTGGTGGTAGATCAAATTGATAAGAAATAATTTGTCTGAAAACAAAAATAATATCGGAGATGAGTGTTCGAAGAATGTGCGTCTGTTTCTCGTCTTCGACTTGCTCTTGTGTATGTCTGAGTTTGATATTTGAACGATGGTTAATCCGAGGTTCAAAAAAAAACAGATGGAAAAGCGTGAATATGAGAGCTGAATTTTGGAGGCATATCAAGCTCTGATAGGATATTATCGCCATGTTGAGCGATAATCAAGACTAAATGTGAGAACACGAAAAGTAAAAAAATCGAACATGAGAAAAAGAAGGATCTGATGAAAATGAAACATATTTAACTAGAATGATAATATTTTATACAAACAGTAAAGGTAGTAGCACATGCCACATTCGTTTGTTGTTCAATTGATATGACGAATTGACCTAAATAATTATTTATATGATGAAGATTGTTTTATGTAATTTATTAAATAAAATAGACTATAAATAGATAGATTAGAATTAAGTAAATCTAATAGATATGAATTAACTTCAATTTTAGATCTTTCGCAACCACCAGCAAACATAGGAAATTTTAAGAATAAAATGTAGATCATTGGTTAGATTTTTCATAAACTACTCTGTTAATAATGATGAAACAGCAGTAAATATTGATTGAATAGCTGTAAAATAAAATATTTCTTCTGTTTTTTGTCATTAAAAATAATCCTACAAGAATTTCTATGAATAATTCATTTTTAATTATTCTTCAATCAATACATTCTCGGAATATATAACTGATATATTTTTAATGATAAGAAAAGATATGAAACTTGTCGAAACAACTCCATCGATTATTTTATGATCAATAGACAGACTTTGTTTTGAAAATTGTTCAATTAATCGAAATAGTACATGATATTGAAATGAAAAAAGAATATCTTGAATATTTTGTTCATCTATATGAATTGATTTATTAAAACAAATATCAATAGATGAATATAGTATATTCGATGTTGTTTCACTATCTGAATTGTCTTGACAGAGAACTTTCGTCCATTTTAATCATGTTTCTTTTTTAATTAACGTAATAAAGAATTATTTGATTAATATTTTATGTTGATTTTCAATAATATATATTTATGAATAAATAATAAATAACAAGTAAATAATAGTGTTTGTTGATCAATAATGTAGATCAATACTTTTGATGTTTCTTTAGAAATTATTTACTTTTCATATTGTTTATTGTCATAAGAAGATAGTTTTAAGAATAATTCAAACTATTTTATTAATTTTTCATTAGTTACAAATTTGGTTAAATCAATGTCTTTGTTTAATTGAGATCGTTTTTTTTTATTTGATACAACTTTCCTTATTTCATTATTTATCAATAATAAATCTTTGTGAAGATTTGTTTTTATAACAAATAAAAACTTCAAATATATGGTAAACAGTTTAATTGAAAAAAGGATATGAGTGTGAATGTAAGCGTATTCTAACCACACCCACCAACCTCACTTTTTGCATGCTTCCGCTAGAAAACCATTGATTCAACCCGCGATACGGGTGCTGTGCAAATGGTTGAGTTTCATGGAAAATTGCTCAGATCTCGGTATTTGCACTTACTTCTCAGAAACGTTTTGCTTGGTCTCCCCCTCTCTCTATATTAATTTATGGTGTGAATAGAATAATTTCTCTGGCTTGCTTACTGTTTTTACTGAGTTATCTTTCATATGATCTGTGTTTCGTGGTTCAGGAATGCGTTGTTAGTTTTTAATAAAGATAATATATAAAGTTGATAGGAAAAAATATTTCGATTAATTCTAAAATATCGTGTATAAATATATTGATGACATGAAAATCGACGATAATAGTAATCTACTGTTGAACAGACACTGTTTTATTTGATATGAGTGATTCCAGTTCGGATATTTTAAATGTCACGTCACTCCATTTATTGAAACTATTTTTATTTTTGAAAGAAAACTTTAATTGTTTACATTCGAATGCACATATTTCTTTTTGATATCTGGTCGATCAGTATATTGTTGAACTCCACCTAAATTCTCACAGCATTTTGTATTTTCACATCGAACTTTGCCTTAAATGAAAACCATAGAATAATTACAAAAATTAAATTCCATGTAAATATCATCTATACCATTCACTTGTGTTTCTTTGAATATACATGCTACAGACAACTGCTCGATTTCTATCCGTTCTGTATGTTGTTGTTTTCGAATAAAATAATTATTATTTTGCTTTCGTATCCATGAAAGTTCACTCAAATAATAATCACATGAACGACATAAAACTTGGCCATCTATTGTTTACAGATCTCCTCTTAAATTAAGGGTTGGGGTGTGTATGAGTGAATAAAATCTGAGTCAACCATAAACTCACACACACACCCACTCTAACAATAAACATGTAAAAATACCTATCGGGGTAGGCCTAGCAAAACAATCAACTAAGATATCGATATCATGATAGCTCTACACACTCCCGTAAGAAAAATTCTATCATTACTTCAGTAACAGTATAGAATTCAAGTTTGTTCCGGTATTTTTTTGTTATGAGTGCCATCTGAAGATTCTCATTGTTGAGATAAAATATCAGCATCATTGTGGCTCTACACACCCACACTCACATCCATACAAAGTTCTATGAGACATATAGCGTTGCTACGAAGGACAGCAAAATGGAGAACTTGTGCGTTCAAATTGTTTAATTTCTGTAGGATGAGAGAAGACTCTTATGCAATAGAGGTATCGAAAGTACTGTTTGATTTATAGAAAGTGATCTATGTAAAATTGACATTTTCAAGTATCGAAACTACAGGAAAAATTTCAAAAACAAAGTGAACAACTGTTGTTTACTAAAAAAACCTGTCTTACATTTGATGTCATGTATATGAATAAACTAAAGAGTTATTGTGAAATTAAAAATACAGATTTGCTGATGATCAAACAACTGAAAAAATTGGTATTAGAGCAAATGATAGAATGGTGTGGCTTATGTAACTGAATGATAACTTTTTGTTTTGTCAAAATGAAGAAGATTCTCTTTGCTTAAATCTTGAAGATTAGTATTATTTTCATAATCAATAATTATGTTCTCTAGATCATTAGATGTTTTTTAGGACAATATATAGCTTATATGTTGGAGTAAATAAGACATTTTTATTTCTTGAAAATTTAGACGTTTTATTAATGAGTAAGTATGTTTAACGAAATTAGAAGCAATGAGTATATAATATATGAAAGCGCAGAATGTTAGTTAGATCACTACAATGAATAAATAAAAAATACTGATTATAAAATTAGTCTTCAGTTATATTTTATGTTGTTTTGAATAATTGTCTTTCGATTGAGGTCGTTGATTATGTTGCCTTTTTACATTTAAGTAAACATTCTTTAACATTCTTCGATGGAAAATCTGGTAGACCTTTTATGAATGAGTCAAGACCTCCTTCGGGATAACCCAATGTTGCAGCAACAATAGCGGGTGGAAACCGTGATATAAAACCTGTGGCAGTATAAGAGCCGGGATCCTCGCTGCTGCGTGCTGCTATAAATACGCCTGGCTCACAGCCCATATTAAATTCAAAATGAACTGATCCTTGTGGAAACACAGTTGCATCTCCTGGTTGCAGAGTATTTATTACTGGGGCGGTAGCATTTTCTACCCAGTATCCAGCTAAGAATGTAGTATTGATAGCAATTATCATTGACGCTGCTCGTGGATGTATATGGGGTGCAACTAAACCGCATGGTTCGACGTATGCATAATTCATTGAAACACCAGTTTTGACAAGTGCAGGAAAAGTAGCGGCCTGAAAAAAAAAATGCTTAGTTTATGATGTGTTACTACCCATATAAAAGCAATATGGCATCTAACAGCGTTTTTACTAAAATGAATGCGATAAACATTGTTTGTTACGATGTTAGGGTAACAGCAGTTCGGGACAAAAGCGAGATCGAAGGACAACAGAACGGAGAAAAAGATGACCCTTCATGGAACTCGAACAACGCACTTTCTGCTTATCAGATAGATATACTACTATTATATTAGGAAGGATATCTTCTACTCCGTCTCATGATCTACCTTGTTCATATGGGGTATAATAGATGTTTAATAGAAAATCGTAGATTCTCTTTTTTGTCTATCGGATCAGACATAGATCTCAAAAACAGCAACACAATATTCAAAGACGCAAACTACTACATAGTTTCAATCAATATAATTTTTGATATTATTTCGTAGCAAAACACAAGCTTTTGCTGATATTTTAGCATCATTTCAGCTGTTGTAGACGAAAATTTCTACCAGAAACACTTCAAATAATGCAAAAATAAGAGCAAAAACTGATGTTCTTTTGCTGCAAAGTCTGATTAAAACTAATATAGACTGAAAATATCAGAAGTTTCTTCTATGTATACATCAAGTTGGTGCGTTTTCGACATCTCTGTCTGATCGGATAGTCTCGAAGTTTCGAACACATAGAAATATGTTTTCACGATATCAACGCAAAAAACATCATAAAAATTTCAAGAATTTAACAAAAAAAAAGATGCTACCTTTTTCACCGCGTAAACATGTAAAAAATACGTATTTGACGAAGTTAAATGCGCTTATACAGTTAAAAAGGCAATATCTTTTTTTGATTAAATTGTTGAATTTGAACGAATTTGAATGCTACTTTTTCATTAAATTTTGTACATTTTTTATACACAAGCAGTGAAATACTTACAGTTGCAGATACTAATCGTCCACCTGAGCCTATTGTCACACCAACTACTGCAGTAAGAAAATGGAACACAGTATTGAATATAATATCTTTCGCCAGTTCTCTTTCAAAAATTGCTGCCGTCGGAGATCCTTCCAATGTTCGCAAAACAGCTTCATCTACTGGTCGCTCACCTGCACATGAAGCTCCATTGAAGAAAGCAAGTATTAATATTCCGATAAAAACTATCATTTTTAAAATCTGAAATAGACAATGGAAACATTTTCAGTCATTTATGTTTCAATCTTCAAAACTAGCCATTTGACTGAACATAATAATCAGTTCTGAACTCATCTTGCATTTTCTATAACAAACTTAAAACACATATGCAGTGATGTCGATCTTATTATTTTCTCAATTTTGTGATTATTATGATCACTAATTTTCCTTATTATGATAGGCTCAGGCAGTAGAAAATTCTATCTACAGGAAAGTGGATACAGCAACGTCAGAATCAGGTTTTGACCATTTTCAACACCTCTTCAACAGGTGTTGTGGTATTTATGTTCGGTACATACCTTATCTATTCACATGAAAATACATGAAGATAAAGCTTTCTTCAACAACTATGATCTTGTTGTGATATAACAATATTTTTCAATCAATAAATAACCATATCACATTTAACATTCCTTTTTTAATCTATTCTGATGATTATGCAGATGCTCCACAACCATAATTTTTTCTTAAAATAAAATGTTTCTCAGAAAAAGTAGTAAAATATACAAAATTATCTTTGATGTGTCATGTAATGTTTTCTATGCTGATATATCCAAATAATAAAGATTGGCTCAACTATATGTATAATAAACAAGCAAAAAACTCAGAATCACTGAAGTATTTACACATTTTTTAAAGTTTTTCAGCATAAGAAAGAAATCTCTTCGAGATACGACGAATATACATCTACGACAATAGTACAAATATATTTCGATATTTTCTACAAACATTTTTAAATATTTGCTCATACTGCAAGAGTGTCACTTTTTTAGATTAATCACCTATCTGTTAGATGTACTTCTCATGTGTCTCTTTTGCTTGCATTATATAGAAGCATATTTGTACATCTTTAGTTAGTTTTAACTAGTTTGCTCGAATAGTGACATTAAAATATTCTTTTGACAATGAAACATGAGTTTTCAATAGTATCTCATTCACTTTTCCTTTCAAAAGCAACAAATACTTTCAACAAAAATCAATGCGAAACTACTTGACAATAAAGTTGTAGTGATGATTACACCTCACCATAGTAGTTATTTAATCAAATACGAAAAACTCGACAAAACTCCAATTTATAGTGTTTCAGGTAATTCTTTTCGATATTTTAGTGATTCTTTCTATTTTCTGAACAATTTTTTACCAAAAATTATCAAGTGCTAGAAGATCTAACGATAACAATGAATATACCAAGGTGCAAAATCCAACACAAAATTTTAATTATTATAAAAATTGAAGCCATTTATCCTAGCCTCTTCTCAGCTACAAATACCGATTAGAAATATTTCTAAGATGTTTCCTTAAGGTTGCAGATGTTCAATCCGCTTCTTTTAGTGACTGTTTTCAAGATCAATATTTGAAATATACATACTCATAACCGGTCATCCCTCATAAGTCGAACGTCACAAAACTGCGAACGTGATCAAAAAAGGCCTGATGAATAATAGGCAAATAATTTCAGACCTAAAGATTGACTACTGTAGGTTTCGAAATTTGAAAGCAGGATCCCACTTAACGTGATATAGTAGTATCGACATTTGAATTGAACACTGAAACCTATTATTTTTCATGATTAGCAAAATAAACTTGCACATCTAAAGGCTTATATGTTATCCTTCTATAGGTTCCACAGCAGATCATACTGAAAGGGGCTAGTTTCTTTTCTTTTTACATGAGATGCCAGAAACTTAAAATTGTGGACTGAGGATATGTTAGGTTCAGATTCAATCTTATTTGGAGCGAATTCGTCCAGGAACATGTTTCAAGTAGAACTACAGATGTTATGTTAGTATTAATATTAAAAAAATGCTAATGCAAAAGCATTAGCATTAAGCATTAAGCCTCATGCTTTAGCATTATTTTTAACTCTAATACATAGTTTCCCAAAACAGAACAAAATTGTTCTATTTTTTCGAAATACGATTCATCCATAAATTCTCGATGAATGAAAGTCCCAAAAATAGAACAATTTTGTTCTGTTTTGGAAAACTATGTATGAGAATTAAAAATAATGCTAGCACCTCAGCATTAATTAACTCTAATGCCAATGATGCTTAAGTATTAGGCTTAATCGTTGATGCTAATGTTAATTCTAATGCGACACTCCTAAGTAGAACTCGGCGAACTCGATTCAATGGTAAAAACTATTTGTCGATAGCATGCTTAGTTCCCTAGAAATCTCTATTACACTGATGGCTATCATCACTGTGGCAACTTCTACTACAATCTTTTTCTATTTTTAGGGTGGACTCGGCCAGGAACATGTTCCAAGTAGAACTTGGCCAGCTCTATGAAATGACGAAAACGGTTTCTTGATAGCATTTTTTCGACAAAGTATAGCTAGACCGCCCCAGTTTTGCATTTTTAGCAGTAATTCGTGGGTCAATTCATTCAGGAACATATTCCAACAAAACCATTCATCTTTCAAGTACAACTTGACGAAGCCTATCCAACAGGGGAAGCCTTATTTCGATAGAATATTCTGTTGACAAGAAATCACCACTTTACTCAGGAAATACTGTCGAATAGAGGGAGATGAAGTGCTAATCAGCGAATTTCTCGAGCATAGAACACGCTATGGAGAAACGGGTTTCACCAGATGATAGCATCGTTCAAACTCTATTTGAAACATGTTCTTGGATGAATTTGCTTCAAAAACGGTCGAATCTAGACTTATGATATCCTACGTAAAATTTACCATTAATTAACTCTTCAGCATTTATTCTACATTATTGTCATGAGAAGAAAAGTATGAATAGAAGAAAAGAAACAGTTACTAATGTAAAATGACAAAGAAACAATCCAATCTATAAGTACTTGAGGGGATGATGATGTTTATTGCCATTTGGTTTATTTGTCTTTTTTTGAATCAAGAATGGATAAGAAGCAACAATGCAGTGATATTTACAACAGTTAATAAGAAAACTAAATCAGCTAAAAAACAGACTAAATGAAACGACTACAACTTTGATTACTTTATCAATCCTCTCAAAATACGTTATAATGCTGAGGAAATACTACAATGAGTTTATTTTTATAAACTATTTAAATTATCTTCCAATAAAAAGTATATATGAACTGCAGGCATTAGTTAATTAGAAAGTATTTATTTCTGAATCTGATAATATGATAAATAAGTTATCTCTAAAAAAAACCATGCCACACAGAAAGTTTTAGGATCGATACTTGTTTGAGAGAGGGAGAATTGAGTGCATAGAAAAGGAAGACCCTTTAGATCATGAACAAGAAAGCGAAAGAGAAAAGGGGATACTGACTAGATAGCATGATTATAAGGGAAAAATAAGAAAAAAAGGAGGGAAAACGATGAGTAGGAAGAAGAGTAGAGTTACTTACTTGTTCGATCGACAGTTGATAAGAACATACAATCACTAAAAGTCGCGATGTATTTATAGGCCCTTTGAGAGAGAGAAAGAGAAACAGAGAAAAAGAGAGAAAGAGAGAAAGAGAAAGAGAAACAGAGAAAAAGAGAGAAAGAGAGAAAGAGAAAGAGAAAAAGAGAAAAAGAAGAGAGTGATTTTTGTTATTGATGAATAGACGAGGATGGTTCTCATTGGACGTAAGTAATGTTGGCATTGGATTCACCTATTTGTTGTCCGAATTCGCCTCCTTACTTGTATTGAGTATCTGGGCGGTTGTGTTAGGTGCAGAATTTTATTCTCTATCGAATGGTACTAGTTTCGATGGGGGTCATCGAGCAAAAAATGCAACTTTAGCCCAAACTACGGTTTTCCCTGTGTAACAGAAACACTGTTTCTGTATTTCTTGTCCGGATTCATTTTAGCAACTGTGTTAACCTTCTTGTCAAGTGTGTTAGATGCAGAGTTTTATTCTCTATTGAATGGTGCGATTTTTAGGGTGGGGACATTGGGCAGAAAACGAGAGTTATACCCCAAATACTGGATTTGCGACCCCATTTTAAAAGTAATTCTAGTCCGGATTCGCTTTAATAACTGTGTTAGCTTTTTAATCAAGTGTGCCAGATACAGAATTTTATTCTCTATCGAATGGGGGCCATTCTTAGAGGGCGTTATCAGGCAAAAAGCGAGGGTTACATCGTGAATACGATGGCCAAGACCCGATTTTGTCAGAAAGTTTTCCTTGGCGATCCTCTGTGAAAACGGTACCATTCGATAGAGAATAGAATTCTGCATCTAACACACTTTATTAGAGAGTTAAGACAGTTACTAAAGTGGATCCAGACAAGAAATACAGAAATAGTGTTTCTGTTACACAGAGAAAAATTCAGTATTTTAGTTGAAAGTGGCATTTTTTGCTCAATGATCCCTTCGAAACTAGTACCATTCGATAGAGAATAAAATTCTACACCTAACACAATCGCCTAGAGGCTGAACACAGATGGGGAGGCGAATCCGGTGTTAACATTACTTACGTCGCATTGGTAAATAAAAGTAACATTGCGTCTATGAATAGAGGTGTAAGGCGTGCGGCTGAGTCGCAGCTGCCGCCGCCGTGCCAACCAAAATTTCAATAATTTCTCAGCCGCTGCCGCTGAGCAACAACAGGTGCAGCCACTGCGTCGTCGTTAATAAGAAAAATTTTTGAAAGCTTCAACCGCCACCGCCAAAACCTGCATGCGAAAATCGAAATTTCTTTAAAATCTATTTTCATTTATGTTTGAATCGTGAAATTGCTTCTTAATCTTTTCGGTTGTTCATATGTACGAAAAATTAATACTTTGTATCTGAAATAATAGAACTTCAAAGCACTTTTATTAATGTTCACGGTTTAAATTTGATTTGTATCTGGATCTATCACCCGCTATAACGAGTTTTCATTATTTCAATGAAAGCCTTTTCACTCTAATAAAGTCACTAAATATAGCGAAACGATAATTTATGTGTTATCATTGACGTCACTTGCACAAAAGGCCGAATGAAATGTTAGATATTCAATCAATTTACTGCAAAATTTGCTTTGATAAGTGAAAATTTGAACAAAACGATGATAGTTCATCCTTAACAGAAAAAGAATTAGCGTTGACAGTGATACATGAGATACAGGCAATATGATAAATCCCTTATTATTAATCGATCGAGTGATAGAAACTCAGCAAAATAAACCAATAGATTATCTCTCCCTGTTTTCTCTAAGCTGCTATACAGCAAAAGTTGTGGAATTAAAACAACAGCTCGGACATGAATCAAAATTAATGTTTTGTAGAGATAGTCATTCAGACTCTATCGTTAAAAACTAAAATGGGCAAATTTTTTGGCATCTTGATATATATCAATTAAATTAAGCATATCCATCCTTAGAACCATTGGATCTTTTGATTTTGGACAAAGTTGTTTAGTACTTCATTACTCATCTTCATACTGCCTACATGTAATGTCTTGATTAAACTAACGTGAGAAACACAGTTATTTCATTTAGTACCTTTTTAAGTTATTATTAATCAGATATTGAAATAAACAGGCGTTTCTTATCATCTAAATCCTTATTCAGTTTCGAAATTTCTGGCCGCCGCCATGAGCATAAAAAAAACTTAAGTTTTTATAGCCACCATCACTGAAGAATCTACAGATTCGAATCGGTCGCCGCCGATGATTTAAGACAACTAAAAAATTTTCGCCGCCATCGACGATCAACTCGGCAGCTTACACCTCTATTTATGAATCCACTATTCTGAAAGAGAGAGAGGATGAAAAAGAACACAGAGTAATGTGCAAATTATTTTTTTTATTGGTATCTCCAAACGAACCAAGTGTTTATCAGAAGATGATGCAAAGATCATTCCTCATCATAATACATACTACCAAAAACATACAAACAACAAAGGAGAAGATATAGTATCATTGGGGATATGCCGTAAAACTACATGAATCGATGTAAACATAGAAAATACTGTAATAGTGGATATCCCGAACCTATCTGAAGAAGCTAGGATTATCTGTATTTATTGGCTTCATTATCAGAATCAAGACTCAAATGACTTACTTCTCTGGATATGGGAATAGATGCGGGTGTCATTGAAGAGAATATTTACACCTACACTCACATCTTTCTACTTTAACTCTCATTTTTTTAAAGCTAAAGTTTCAAATATCCACTTTAAAGTTTAACTCGAAAAAAGTCGAAGTCGAGATTTCATCATAGGAAGATGCATCGAAGTCTCTTCCATCAGAATATCTATGGCTCATCGCAAAATGAATTGATTTTGACGGACTTATCCTCTAAAACCTGGCTCTTATTATCATACTTTTCGAGAAATTTTCCCACTTTTTTTTACACGTTTTTTCAACTTTTTGGGCTACTTTCTCTTTGTATCAGCATATCATAAAGTTTTTTTAAATATTAATCAGTACGAGACTATTAATGCTTAAGATTAAGATTACATATTCATAGCCCATCCTGAACATTCATATATAATTCAGATGTATTTCGCAAAAAACGATTTCTACAACTTATTTAGCCTTTTTCTCAAAATTAGATTTTTTCGAGCATATCGTTTATGCGAGTAAGGTTTTTTTAATAACGACTCAATAGAGAAGCGGTAATTATTTTTATTATACAGATGACAGTTAGGGCTAGATCCTCACAGAGCCCGATTTTTGAATTTCTCTATTGGTGAAATGAAAAACTTATATATTTTATTTTTATCAGCAATTTTTTTGCCGATGAATTCGACAACTTTTCGAAAAAGATTTTTTAAAAAACAAACAAAGGGGTATTTGAAAAATCGAGCTCTGTGAGGATCTAGCTTTAAGGATACTCTACAACTTAAAAAGCGCCCCGATATGTTAGGTCATATTCTAATTGTGAAAACCTTGCTCGCGTACAGAGTGCTTTTGACCAATAAATTGACTATAACTCGTTAGTATGTTCGAGGTTTGGGGAAAATATTTCACCTACAATCTATCCTAGCCTAGACTAATATTCTCCCAAAATTTGCTTGAAATCGGACGAAAAATAAAAATGTTGGTTTCAGAGAGGTCCCCCTTCAAGTGTTTCTAAAGTTAAAATGCCATCCTGAATCTGAACACTTGCATACAACGATAACACATCATCACTAGCAACAACCATGTGAACACTTACACACTACAACAACAAACCAATACTAGCAACAACCAACGGAACGCTTACATACTTCAACAATATACCAGCACTAGTAACAACTATCTGAGCATTAATACACCACAACAATACACCAATA